TCTTTTAAGGAATGTCTCCATGAACAAGCTAATGCTTTAAATAGTTTCCAAAGACCAAGTCATAACCCGTACTCACAAACATACAACCCTGGTTGGAGAAATCACCCAAATTTCAGTTGGAAGAGTGGTAACAATAATGCACAAACTTCACAGCCACCATTTCAAACACAACATAATTTTCAAAATTCTCATGGATATGCACCTCCTTATATTCCCCCTCCTAGAAGAAATCTTGAGGAAACATTACATGCATTCATTGAAAAGCAAGAGACAATCAACACTCAAAATGCTCAAACCATGGCTGATTTGAAAGATACTCTTGCAAAGTTCACATCTGCTCTCAGTTTTCAGGAGAAAGGTAAGTTTCCATCTCAACCCCAGCAAAATCCCAAGGGTCAATACAATTCAAGTACAAGCAATTCCGGAAGCCAACATCTAGATCAAGTCAAATCAGTCACTACTCTCCGCAGTGGTAAGGTTATTAAAAAACCCATTATTGAACCTTGTGAGAAAGAAGGTGAGTTAGTCTCCAAGGGTAAGGAAATGGTTGAAATAAGAAATAAGAAATAATTTTTTTATTGAAAGGTGAAATTAAAAAGAAAAAATAATTTAAGATCAACATAAAAAAATCAAAAGAAAAGGACTGAATTGGAAAAAAACCATACTTCAAATTGGGATTGAATGATGAAATTGAAAACAAATCAAAGTTTTACAAAAAGTCAAGAATCAAAATTAAAAATAAAAAAAATAAGGATTGAAAAGGAAATCCTTAAAAATAAAAGGAAAAGTATAAAATTTTGCATGACTAACATAAATTTCAAGAGAAGAAAAGAGAAAAGATAGAGAAAAAAAGCATTGCTGGTGATAAAATTGTGCCACCAATGACCACCATGTTGCTTTAAAGAAAGACGGAACGATGACATTTTTAATGACATGGTGAAATAAAAATTTTGACTATTAGAAAGTGCTACACACATCGCTTATAGGTTACGAGCACCTTTTACATGCTGAAGCGTGTTTAGTACATATTAACAATTTTTTTATTTTATTTAATTCAAATACATAATTACCTATAAAATATTTGGGTGTCACAAACACTTTTCAGATAACTAATGGACTGAATTAAAAAAATAATCATGATAACTTAAATAAAAAATATTTTTTTCAAAAAAGAATAATGATATATCTCAATTCATAGTCCATTAATTATGAAAGGTTGAAATAAATTGAGTAAAAAAAAGGACCTAACAAATCAACCTAAGTCAACTCAAGTTAGTATTACAAACCTTTAACTTTAATAATTAGGGTTGAGTCAACTTGAGTCATCCTGCCAAACTCATGATCTGAGTGATAAGATCAAGATAACATGATAGAAAATAATATAAAAAAAATTACAAAGCCTATTAAAAAAATAAATGTCAACTGATGTTAATTTTTCAAACTTGTAATCCGAGTTATTAAACTAGAAGCATTTTATCTAGAAAAATTATTAAATTCAATTTTTAATAAATCAAATGTTGAAGTATGAAATAAATAATTTCAATTTATACCATTAAACCCAATTTCCAATAAATCAAATGTTGAAGTATGAAATAAATAATGTTAATTTTACAAAAGGATTAAAAAAATATAAATTAAAAGAATGACTATCAAATTCAAAACATAAAATAAATTTCATCTTTGATTGAAAGATGAAATTAAAAAGAAAAACCAATTTAACAAAAGAGAAAAACAACAATAAAAACAATGAGGATCAAAACTAAATAAGAAATAAGAAATAATTTTTTTATTGAAAGGTGAAATTAAAAAGAAAAACCAATTTAACAAAAGAGAAAAACAACAATAAAAACAATGAGGATCAAAACTAAAATAAGAAATAGAAATAATTTTTTTATTGAAAGGTGAAATTAAAAAGAAAAAATAATTTAAGATCAACATAAAAAAATCAAAAGAAAAGGACTGAATTGGAAAAAAACCATACTTCAAATTGGGATTGAATGATGAAATTGAAAACAAATCAAAGTTTTATAAAAAGTCAAGAATCAAAATTAAAAATCAAAAGAATAAGGATTGACAAAAAGTCAAGAATCAAAATTAAAAATAAAAAAAATAAGGATTGAAAAGGAAATCCTTAAAAATAAAAGGAAAAGTATAAAATTTTGCATGACTAACATAAATTTCAAGAGAAGAAAAGAGAAAAGATAGAGAAAAAAAGCATTGCTGGTGATAAAATTGTGCCACCAATGACCTCCATGTTGCTTTAAAGAAAGACGGAACGATGACATTTTTAATGACATGGTAAAATAAAAATTTTGACTATTAGAAAGTGCTACACACATCGCTTATAGGTTACGAGCACCTTTTACATGCTGAAGCGTGTTTAGTACATATTAATAATTTTTTTATTTTATTTAATTCAAATACATAATTACCTATAAAATGACTTGATAATAACAAAGAAACCATGGTGGAAAAGAGAAAAAGTCTCTTGACACTAATTTTTATTTTTTTTAAAGAATTTTGATCGTTTCATTATGCTTTTTATTTTTTTATTTTTTTATTTTAGGTTAAATACCAAATGTCTTATCAGTTGACCTAATAATAACAAAAAAAATTCATTTTGTAAATACAAAAATACCTCTTAATACTAGTTTTAAATTTTTATATTTTCAAAAGCCTCTTAATCATTTTATTATGCTATTAAAATTAAAAAATATTTTATTCTCAATCAATTTTATAATAACTAATAATATTGTTAAAAACTTTAATGCCCTTAATAATTAATTTTAAGGATTTTTTATTTTTTTAATTTTTTTTAGAAGAGTAAAATCGTGAAAACATTGAGAACAATGTTTTGATGGTATTTCCCCTTTCTATTTTAACTTTCATTAATTATCTACCCCTTTTTTTCATTTGAATTATTGTTGCTCAAACCACTGCGTATTGTAGGAAAAGACTATGAAATTTTTACAAAGGTTATTTTGGTACTTGAATTTTTTCAATAATTGTTATAGTCCCTCTAATTTATTTTGATGATATTCTAGTCCTCTTTTGAAAGCTTTTTAGTCCTCTAATATTAAGGTATATATACAATTAAGTTCATAAATTACAAGAGTTTTTGAAATTAATCCTCTGCATGTAATAAATCCGTTTGGATAGAAAATAGGTGTATTTGATCAAACTTTAATCAACCAAATAAAAAAAAAACAAATGAGTGACAAATTGATAATGAGCAATAAAAGAGATTAAAAATTAACAATTTTCGCCCATGGTATTATACAAGCTTGTTTTACCTCATTCATGGTGGGACAAGAATTTTGCCTTTAGAGTAACTTTGGACCCGACAAAGATTGTCCTGTATATATATATTGCCCTACAGCAGACAAGAAGGTGAGGCTTTCAACTGTTCAGAAAAAGCTCAATCGCAGCTGTAACCACATGTTTTAATTAGAAAAGTCACTAAAAAAATTTGAGTCCATCATGCAGCCATATGACGTGCGTAAGGTAATTAGCTATATATAGCTAATTAGCAATATATAATAAAGAATTTAGGAAATCCCATTTGAAATTAGCTATATTGATGCAGGGCAGAAGTACTGTTTCCCTCGTGTTAATGACAAGGTTGACAATAGACATCTTTTCCATATTTTTTTTATTTTTCTTTCTTTCGATCAGGTTTTAATTCGTGATTTGATTGATAATATAATTTGCAGAAATTAATTGTGAGGAAATTATAATATTATATTAGCAATGGGACTCAAAGTCAAGCCCAGTGCTTGTCCTTGTTGCCGTTTTATATGGCATCCGACGTGAGCTGATCGAATTTCTTTTCTTTTCGGGTATTTCCATGTTTTATTTGCCTACAAGGCATATTCGTTCGCTTTGGCAACCCAATAATTCAACGTACGTGGTAACCTTTTGCCAAGTGTCCCCAGAAACGAAAAAACATCAAGTTCCTTTCTCGAGAAATTAATGGGCCCATTTTGGTGACATCGACGTGGCAGTACTTTGACACTTAGCCCAGCCCACTGATCTATTCAGAAACCGTTCAATTCAGGGCTGAAATTAAGCTGAGTTAAAAAAAAAACTTAATGGGTTAAAAATCTGGTTATAACATGTTAAACTCTTATTTTTTTTACTAGAATAGTATTGTTTTAATTTTAAAAAAATTAACTGATTTAATTAAAATTTGATTAAAATCTAGAATCCAGATTTTAAATCAAACCGGTCTAAAAACTTTGATATAAAATAGACCTAGCATGTTTGCTTTTTGTTACTCGAGATCATAAATTAAATTAAATTCAGGCCTCAAGTTGATTAATAATTACCTTGATTTTTCAATCATATACTACTACTATTTATAGTCACTGAAGCCCACAAGAAGCAGCCTTAACGTGGGTGCGACGTTCTATCCCCTTTTGGTCATCCCATGCCCCTTCTCAAGGTTTTTCCTCCGTCAATTGGCCCACGTCCTAGGGCATTTCTTTCTTATATGTCATGTTTATATTCTATTTACTATTTATCAAGTTAAAAATTTAAAAATTTATTAATTATATTCAATGAATATTCATTATTTATCGATCAATAAAAAATAAAATAATTAATATATATATTTGAAGTATATAAATATATGTTAAATTATAAAATGATAAATATTCTACAAATATATGTATTTTATATCAATATTATATAAAAAAATCTAAATATTCTACAAATATATTTATACAATATAAGTATATGTTTCAAGTTCGATTTCAAATTGTATTTAACAATATTTATACCCTGTTTATTTAATCAATATCCTTCTGGTTGGCATTGAATTTTCGACTCTCAAACATTTGGACTAAGGGAAGGGATCAGTTAAATAGTTATACGAAAGAAACAAAGGCGGCCAATCTACAGAGCCATTAGCTGACCACATCAAATTTTCATTCAAACTTAACATTACAATGATTAAAAATTTAAAACAATGCCATCGCCCAGCTGTCAAGAAAGATTCTAATCCAACTGGCTTCGTAAGACTATGAACACCTCTCTTGTATACCAGCCTACTATATAATCTCTGCATTTAGCAGCTTCTTTCCTATCAGCAAATTCGATTAAGTAATCTTCTGATCTTCAAAAATGGCAGCTTCCCGGTTCCATCTCTTACTTGTTCTTTCACTCACTCTCAGTTTGTGCCACTTCCCTGACACCACATGGGCACAGCTTAGGCAAAATTATTATGCTAGCAGTTGCCCCAAAGTGGAAAGCATAGTTAGGGGTGTAGTTCAGAACAAAATTAAACAAACTTTTGTTACGATTCCGGCAACTCTCAGGCTTTTCTTCCATGATTGCTTTGTTCAGGTAATATTTGTGGAATACAAATAAACAGCCCATTGCTTGATTCATTTTCTCTAGCTTAAGATTAATGTTTTGTTTGTACAGGGTTGTGATGCTTCAGTCATAGTGGCCTCCACTGCAACCAACAAGGCGGAGAAGGACCATTCTGATAATTTATCATTAGCTGGAGATGGATTTGACACTGTGATCAAAGCGAAAGCAGCTGTGGATGCCACCCCCGGGTGCAAAAACAAGGTCTCATGTGCTGATATCCTTGCCATAGCAACAAGAGATGTTATCGCACTGGTCAGACCATCATGTTCTTGATCTTCTTCTTCTGTTTTCCTGATATGTTCAAGGGCTATAAATGTGATCTTGATGCAGTCTGGTGGACCTTCATATCCTGTTGAATTGGGACGATTGGATGGTTTAAGTTCAACAGCTGCTAGTGTCAATGGGAAGCTGCCTCAGCCAACTTTCTCTTTGAATCAGCTTACTGCTATGTTTGCTGCCAACGGACTCAGCCAAACTGACATGATTGCTCTCTCAGGTATGACAATCATCGTAATTGTCCTAAATTCACGTGCTCCCATCACAGACATCTTATCTAGGTGGGTCCTGAAATTGGATCTCCAATGGCCACATTTGATAGGCCATTTATTAATTAATTTATTTTTTGTCAATGGAGCTCCTATCATCAATCAAACCCACAAACAACCTTTTTATACTCATATTGGTTTTTCAACAATGAAATGATGCATATTATAGGCTCTCTCTCTCTCTTTTTTGAAAGATAGGAGTATCTTTAGATGAATTTACAATTTCATTGAGCTTGATTTTTCTTTGCATAATTTTGATAATGTACCTCCAATAATATATTAAAAATTTTAATTATATGCAACTTCAAAAATGTGCACTATATTGTTTCAAGATGGATCCATTGATGATTTTTTTTTCTTTTTTGGTACCCATCAGCGGCACACACGGTTGGATTCTCTCATTGTAGCAGATTTGCCAAAAGGATATATAGTTTTAGCAGGAAAGGTCCGATCGACCCTACACTCAACAGAACATATGCAAAAACACTGCAAACCCTGTGCCCCAAAAAAGTTGACTCCAGAATAGCCATCAACATGGACCCAAACACTCCCAGAACCTTTGACAACATGTATTACAAGAACCTTGTGCAAGGAATGGGCCTCTTCACCTCAGATCAAGTTCTATTCACAGACCCTAGGTCCAAGCCAACTGTTACTAAATGGGCCGCTGACTCACAGGCCTTCCGACAAGCCTTTATCACTGCCATGACAAAGTTGGGCCGCGTCGGTGTCAAGAGCGGTCGAAATGGGAAAATTCGTCAAGACTGCGCAGTTTTGGCTTAAATGAAATTTGCTCAACATGGTTGGTTTTTTAACCCACTTTCGTTCACATTACATGTTGCAATCTGGAGTGATCGTGATTTTAATAAGGAAATGACAACACTTAGCAACAGAGAGAAAATAAATGATTTCACATCAGTTGTTTCTTTTTTTGAAAAAAGAAGAAGAAGAAGAAGACTTAGCTGTATTATAATTTGTCTAATATTAGACATTGTAATTGTCTTTGTGTTTTCCAGTAGATATGCAGTTGGCCTGCTTATCCTAACAAACACCCATATACACTTTTGTTTGATAACTCTGCTTTTCTGAACATTAATTTTGGAATTAAACATTTAAGAAATTAATTAAAAAATCTTGTGCTCAAGTTAAACTTAATGAGAAGGTATAGAAAGCTTGCTTCAGAGAATATCTGACTATTCTTCTGTGGAAAACAGAATGAAAAAAGAAAAAGAAATGAAAGATAATATTTGACTAGACATCTGATTATATTTCTTGTTAAAGGAAGCTATCATCAATTTGCAAGAAAATCATAAATCAGTTGTCACTTGAAACAAAAAACCCAGATAAATTAACAAGACACCTAGATGGAAGCCAAATTGGTCAGGTGGAGAAATAATTCTATCTTCAAAGACATGAAGCAGTTGCAAAAACGACAAAAAAAATACCCCACCGAGGAGGGAAAAAAAAAGCATCTTATGACTACGAAATCTAAAACAAGCTTTTAAAGGCTAACGATTTGAGAGTCGCGATCATAGATAATTAACGGACATATGTTTTAAAAATAAATGAATTATATATCTTTTTAGGAATACTCAAACCCACCAGGAGTACGTAATCTAAGCTACCAGTTAAATCCTTTTTACAACCTCAAAAGTTCAATGTATCTTGGCATCATTTTTTTTTATCCAATATCAACGAGCAACACTTTAAAAATATTTTATCCCTTATATTAAATTCAAGAGGCATCTTTATATTATTTGCATAACTCTTCTATCTATCTTAAAGTATTTTTATCCTATTATTTATAATTCTTGTCTTTTTCAAAGTAATTTGTACTAATTCTAATTCAATTAGCCTTCTATCACCCACTTTCTCTCAATAAAACGAGATTCACGATTTCCTTCCATACAAGATCTCGTAGGGAGTCATTTCAATTGTAGCATGATAAATGTTATTGTAAGTAAACTCAACAAGTAGTAGATGAACCTCTTAATTGCCTCTAAATTCTAATATGTAGGCTCTTAATAAAATTTTCCAAGTTCTAAATGGTTTTCTCTAACTGCTGACACGATTAAAGAGTTGATGTCTTATTCCAAGTACAGAAAT